GCTGAAAACAACAATGGATATAGAAGAGTACAATGCATGCAAAGTGTACTTTGAGAGAATTGCACTCAGAGGTTAGAACTGTGCAAGACCAGATTCCGGTCTCAAATATATTTAAAAAATGTATCATCATGGAATGGGTTTTAAAACTGTTACAATATGAAGAATTGGTTTAGTTTTTTATCAAGACATAACATGTTGTCTAATTGAAGAAGTTTATATGCTTACTGTCTAAGTCCTGCTATAAATGAGCAAGATGTTAGTCAGTATCTAAATTTTTGTTTAGAGTTAATTGAACTTTCTTCATTTTTTTACTTGTCTGTCTGTGTTAAAAGAAAAAACTCAATGCCACCAACCTGCTCTTAGTTATTGCTTGAAATAGTGCTTTTCTTCCTTTGGCTGATGTGTTAAATTTTATTGTGAATTATTTAATATAAAATTTATTTGAAAAGAATCAATGAGGAAATGATAATTATCAGGAAGCAGTAGTTTTGGTTGATAAATTTAATTAAATGTAGGTTATCTGCCACAGAATAATAAGATCTGTGTAACTGTCATATAATATTATTGAAAATGCAGTTTTTAGTGTCTGAATGGTAAACTGACATATTGGTTTTCTTTTAAATTTTATTCTAGACGTTTTGTCAGCTCAGTCATACTCCACAGGTACTGAAGATGAAGCACAGATAGAAAGATGGAAACAGAACACAGAGGTTGTGGAGTCAGAGAAAGCGAAAAGTAAACACAACTGAATCTAAAGCTTGCTATTCAGAAATTTAATAATACCAAAAATTTAGTGTAAGTTTTTGCAGAAACACTTCTTTGTTGACATTAGGGGCTGTTTTGAAATAATTTATGATGAGTAACTGAGGAACTGAATGATGTCTTGAAGAACCAACTCTGAGAGAGTATACTTTTCATGACCACGACACGTTAGAATGCCCATAGCTACCTTTTCTTTTTAAGTGATTTGAAGAAAGCTATCTATTTAATAATTAACTGCCCTATGCACTTTAACTTTTAGTTAGTTCACCCATTCTTGAAATATCCACCACTGGTCATGATAAAGAAGGAAAAGAACTGCAAGAAGCTCTGAAAGGTGAACAGAAAATTCAGTTTTTCTTACATGTTTGTAACGTAGTCCAAACGAGTACAAGAATGATGGCAACACAACGCTTCTTTAATACGTCTCATAAAAGCCCACCATTACTAGGCGTGATACAACAACTACAACATCTGGGATACCCTTTCATTCTACTGCGCATGCCTGAAGGGCCTATGACATCACAGCATCGTTACAATGTTCTCTTCTACAAGGAAATAAATCAACCAAGAATGCTGTTAAACGCTTTCAACTCTTATAAAGTGCTGTCTATTTTTAACAAAATCTTGCACCCCAAGTTTGTTTTTTCTGATTCTGCCCTTCATCTGTCTGTACCATGGAACTGTGAAATAGTGTCCATATTACAATATTTGTGTAAATTTGGTCTCAGTAATAATCCAAAGAGACATTGAAGAACTAACACTGAAAGCCTAACCGCCTCCCGGTTAGCTCAATTGGTAGAGCACTGGACTGTTGTGTGGGAGGTCGTAAGTTCAAATCCGGCCGGACCAACACTCAGGGTCTTTAATTAACTGGGGAAGTGATGCCTTTGTAACAATAATTATCTGCAAATGGTTAGACTTTCTAGTCTTCTCGGATAGGGACAATGAATGGAGGTCCTGTCTTCTGCAGGGTTGGGGTAGGAGACGTTAATTTCCCACACACAAGACTACTGTATGATGGATGTCCTCCCCGGGGTGGGATGGGTGAGTAATAGAGGGGTTGGGTGTCAATTAGAACGAAAGTTCTGTTCCTTTCTCCTGCCAATCCTGTGGCGAATGAATTAAACTAAACTAAACTAAAAACTAAAAATCTAAACTAAAAGCATGTTATTCTTCTGTTGACTTATCTTGACATAATAGATTCCAGTTGTCAGTTGTCAGCTCCTAATAATAATAATAATAATAGTAATTTAATATCTGTATTGGGTAAATTAACATGTGGATATGATCAAATGCACATTACAACACTTTTCGGGGGACTTTGGCCAGACTGCATCAACAGTCTTTTATATCCTTCTAGATATAAAACTTTAGAACTGTTACAAATAAGAGCTGCTAGAATTGTTTTAAAAGAAAGTTGCCTTAGTCACGATCAGCTGTTGCGACAATCAGGTTGGATGGTCCCTTATACCATTCTTCATATACGATGCATATTTCAACTTTTGTTTTTAAGTGAGTCAATAACATTGCTCCTGAAATGTGCAAAGAATATTTTGTCAAGTTATCACGCAATTATTTTACCAGGCATAATGGTGTTGACCTTAAATTTGGACAATTTCAAGCTCCTTCTTACAGTTTTATAGAATCCACTTTTTTATTTAACCGTTTAACTACTATAATAATGGACCAAAACAGAATTTTTTCTTTACAATACGAATGAGCAAGTGATGTCATAGGAACTGTATGTTTCTATTTGTCTTTGACCCATTTATAAAGAAATTAAAATGAGCTAAGAAATATTAATTGGCAAGATCTTTGTTGGGGGAGCTAAAGAGAATTTGTGTGGGGTTTTTATAAAAATGATATGAGGTGTGTTTCATGGTTTATTTCATAGTTTTATTTGTTTTGTTATAATTTGGTTTTAGGTGCTTTATCCTCTGAATTCCACAGCATAAGTTCAACCGGTGAAAGTTTACAGAAACAAGAAGAGCTGAAAAAATGGAAACAGAAGACAAAGGTTGTTGAGACAGAGAAAATGAAAGGTGAAAAGAAAATTGAAAGATGTATCAAGTTATTTAATGAAAATTTGTTGTTAATGGTAACAACAATTACATGAAATCTTTGAAGAATAATGTCAGGGCAATAATGTGGCATCAGTAATATTGTAAATGGTACAACTTAAAGGAAACAACACATTTGAATAGAGGATGCAAATGCTAATCTCCTTAGGTACTCGACCCCTCACTGTAATAAGCACCACTGGAAAAAGAAAAGAACTAGAAGAACCTACAGGAAAGATTGGTGCACAGGAAAATTTGTTTGAATTAATATCTGAAGTGAATATATTTGTATCTTCAGCTATTATGCCAAGTGTAAAGCTAGACTTGCTTGATCATAAATTATGTATTAAAAGACTGACATTTATGTATTTTAGTTACATTTCATACACTTTTTACAGATAGTCACATCTTGGTCTACCATGTTATGATCTCTCTATTAAAGGTAACACCATAAATACTAATATTGCTGTGTACGCCTTTTCCCTTACTAGGTACTTCACTCTCCACCAAACTGTCCATTGCTGGTTATGGAAAAGAACTGGAAGGAAAACTGAAAACTCTGAAACTTCAGGAAGAGAAAAGTGAGTGAAATAGGACTCTGAAGCTAGTTGGTCAGAATCAATTAAATGAAACTGTAATTATTATCACCTGGGCAAGAATGCTATTCAGAAAGTAAAAAGATTGAATTTACTAATAAAATGAGATTTGGGAACAAAGGGGTTAATTTGTTACAACTGTAGGTTTCCTATGTTTTTTTTTTTATAGGATTTTAGACTCTTAAGTTTTAGCACTTAACAAACCCACAAGCTTTTCATCCAAAAATTTTTGCTGTTTGAAACAAAGCCTAAGTATCCATCTGAATTGATATTCACATTGGTATGTCTTGTGGTGACTTTTTTCATGGCAGTCACTGAATGCTAATCTCTCTCTGTGTACCTTTGTACTTAGGCACCTGGCCTGTCCCTGAATTTTCTGCCTCTGATCCTGAGGAAGAATTAGCAGAGCTACATTTGAAACTTCATGGAATGGAAGGTGATTGAAAAATGCTGTTTACTTAGCTTTTAGGATAGAACTAAACAAAAAATGCCTTGAAATGCTCTCAGTTTTTATGCAAAAGATTACTTTAAAAAGTAAGAAAACTTAACTTAGTTTTCCCTCACTCTGTCCAGTGGTATGAGGGAATAATTATTTTAAAAGTTGTTAGTGGCTTACTAGCAACTAGTTGTCCCTCATTCTGTCCTTTGGTACTAGGAAATGTTAACATGGTAGTGGCTGGGGATGTTGAAACAGTATAAATAATAACTAATAAGTGTAATTATTAATAGTACTGTACGTATATAATAAAAGTTTTTTTTTCAACCTTGATCATAAGTTATGCATTTAAAAACTGACAGTGCTTTATTTAAGATAAATTTTAGTACTGTACTATTTACAGATGGTCACTTGTTGGTTTACCATTTTTATCATCTTTCTGTTAAAAGTTAAACACCATGAATGCTAACATTGCATTGTACACTTTCACCCTTAGTTACTTCACCCTCAGCTATATATTTCACTACTGGTCATGAAAAAGAAAAAGTATTGAGACACGAAACTATGAAACTTCAGGAAAAGAAAGGTATTATTATAACTGTAATACTGTAAAATAGTTATAATAATTATTTTTGTTATTAATAATAGTGAAAATAATGATAGTATGATAAAGTTTTTTTGAGCTCTGATCATAAATTTTATCTTGAAAAACTGGCATTGATGTATTTTTTAGACAGTCACATGACAAAAGGAGTCACATTTTGGTCTGCCATGTTGTCATCTCTCTTTTAAATGTAACACCATGAATACTAATATTGCTTCGTGTGCTTTTGCCCTTAGGTACTTCACTCTTCACCAAACTGTCCTCTGTTGGTCATGATGGAAAAGAACTGGAGGGAAAACTGAAAACTATGAAACTTCAGGAAGAGAAAAGTGAGTGACAAAAGGACTCTGAAGTTAACATTTAGACAGTTAATATCTATAAATAATTATTTAATGTAACTGTTATTTTTGCCAAGCAAGAATGCTCTTTAGCAGTTATGGAGAGTCAGATAATACTTTTCAAGGTAAATTATTCCAAATGTGATGCACCTCATTCTCTACTTGTGTTAAAAGGGAATTTTGTGTTGGCTTGTGGAAATGAAACCACATAGTTACATGATATATTATTTATATACAAGTCATGTATATCAAATCTTTCAATGTTTTCAACAACGTTTTGGTTCAGTAGTTCATAAAGGCAATGTATCTATAGAAACAAATTGTTGTGCCTGTTTCTAACTATTTATCTGTAGAAAAGTCTGAATGGTAATCTCTCTCCTTGCACACCTTTGCCTCTAGGCATCTTGCCTCTCTCTGAAGAAGAACTAGAAGGGCTACTTATGAAACTTCAAAGAATGAAAGGTGAGTAAAAGATGCTGTTAAATTAACCAGTTCGTGGTAAAACTAAACTAAGACTGCTTTGAAATACTTTGAGTTCTCAAATATTTTGTTTGATAGGAAATTAAATCCAATATCCTTTTCCTCACTCTGTCCTTTGCTTTGATCAAGGGACAGTTTAGATGATAGGGGCTGGGGATGGTAAACAGTATATGACAAGAATAAGTTTTCTCAATGTAGATCTTAAATTATACATTAAAAAAACTGACAGTGAAGTAATGTAGATGAATTTTGTACACTGCAGTCATGTTGGTTTGACATGTTATATTGTCTCTATTAAGTGTAACACCATAAATTGTCCTGTGTATTTTTAACCTTAGGTAGTTCACCCTCTGTTGTGTTGCCCCCTGCTGGTCAGAAAAAAGAACTGGAAGGAAGACAGAAAACTATAAAATTTCAGGGAGAGAAAGGTGAGTGGAAACAAACCCTGAAGCTAAGGTTTAATCAGAATTAAAATTGTTAAGCAGGAAATAGAATGCTAAGTTGAAGTGCTTTAAACAGTCATGACAGCTTTTACTTTTTGGAGTAGATTAATCCAAACTGCTTTAATTAAAGGGAGTATTGAGTTGGTATGTGGTAACAATGCATGTATGTACATGGAATAACTGTTTTCAAGATTGATTACTGGTGTCAGAATGGAGAAGTGACACTATTTGACTTCAACTATAATTTAATTTGCTGTTTGTGCAGGTACAGTGTATGCCTGTTGTTATCTTATCTGTGCAAAGTAATACACTGAATTTTGAATACCTCTGTATGCCTTTGCTGTCAGGTTCTCTACCTTCCTCTCCTCTCTCCACCACTGATCTTGAAGAAAAGCTGGAAGAAGTATGTGTGAAACTTGTGGGGCTAAGAAAGGAAGGTGAATAGAAAAAAAATCATATCTTGTCATTTTCAGGGAGAATCTGGTCCAACAATAATGCTAATAAATGTCCATAAAATTTGGTTAGGTTTAAAAATGGGCTATTTACCAGGCTAAAATATTCAAAAAGTAAAAACCAAATATTGACACTAGGTCATCATTGGGGTGATGATAACCCAGAGTCAAAAGACGTTTGGTTTTATTGTTAACATATTTTTAGCCTTGCAAATAGCTCAACACTTATAAAATAATGTAATGAATTGAATGTTTTCACAGTTTCACAATCACTTTTGAGAGAACTATTTCCATATCTGAGACAAAAACCTTTTTCTGTCCTTATTTTCATCCAAGAATGGTGTTAAGTACTCTCGGCTATTATTCAATATTGTAACTTAATTAGTTTTGTTAGGTAAATTTTCCTTAATTCAGTTTTGCCTCTTAGTCCATAACTTTGGTTAAAAAAACTATTAAATTGGCTGTGGCATGTGATGATGATAGTATACTTATAGATAGTTAATTTCAACAATGATCATAAGTGATGATGTAGGAAATCCTGCACCATTTTTCCTTCATTTAATTTAACCTTAATACATGCTGGTATGCTTTAACTTTTAGTAACAGTTATGGCACTGAGTGCTGAATACATCTGTGTATACCTTTTCTCTCAGGTAGTTTAGCTGTTCCTGAACCTTCAACCAGTCATCTTGTGAAAAAATTAGCAGAACTGTGCATGGAACTTACAAGGCTCAGAATGGAAGGTGAATGAAAATGTTTATTGATTCCCTCTCAGCGAATTAAAAAAAATAATGTAAGAATTCTTTTAATAGAATGCCTTCACTGATCCTGTTTCAAATTATCACTTTTCAAGAAAAAGTTTTCCCTCTTGTAATAACTTACAATGAATGCTTCTACTCCTTATTCAAATTATAACTTTTCAAGGGAAATTATTCCCTCGTAAAGATATAATTCCTCTTGGCCTCTACATTTAGATAATTGTTATATTAAGTGAGATTGCCATCTAATACTTTCGGCTATTGTCATGTTAACTGTCGACTTTTATAGGAGGTTATTAGTTTTTCCTCATTGTTTACTGTGGTGGAAGGGAGTATAAAGTTGGCTGTGGCTCATTTTGATGAAACAATTTTTCTTAATGGTTGATTTAAAGAATGACCAAAGGAGATTAAGCAGAGAAGTCATACTATAATTTTGCTATCACAGGACCATAATACAATGTATAATGTTTGTTATCTGTTTTTAACCATTTATTTAAGGTAATATATTTAAGGCACTGAATGATTAATACAGTATATTTTATATATGTATGAAGTTACCTTTCCCGTCAGGTACTCCGCCTCCCCCTGAACTCTTCACTGCTAATCTTGAAGAAGAACTAAATGAACTACTAGGCAAACTATACAGACAAAGATACCAAGGTAAGTAAAACAATCATAGTGGTTCTGTTGAACAGGGAAAACTAAATATGGAAAGTGAAGCAAGGAAATCGCTGCTCTACAATACAGGCTTGATTATTTTAGTAGAAAACTTTAAGGTCAAACTCAATTCCTAAATTGTTTTACATGTGTTGTTTTCGTCTTTTTTGGACACCTAATGTAATCCATGAGATGAATTTTATGAACTTTGAGGCAGGTTAACATACAATGCAACCGGACATTTTACTCATTGCTTTTAAATTTCCAAGCCCTGCATGCAACTTGCAAAACATCTGCGCCCATTACATGGTAAACATCGATTAATGTGTATTTACTCCATATTTAAGCTAACCCCTCCTCTGATATAATGCTATCAACCAAGAATGGTATTAAATGCTTTGAACCATTTTGCTCTTTAGATCGTCATCTAATCTGGACCTTTTACAGAGACGTAGGTGAACTACTCAGGCAACTGCAGGAAAAGAGGACGGAAGGTGATTAGATGATGCACATTTAGAGAGAAAATTAGTTTTTAAAATAACTGTAGAAATTCTCGCGCGCTCATTGGACAGGAACTATTGTCAGAAGGGAGTTTTACCACAATCAGCAGTAATGTTGCATTCTGATTGGCTAACTTGCCATCATCAATGAGAGTACAGACTATGCTGCTGACGTCATTGTGGCACGCAACGTGTCATGCACTGAAGGAATCGTCTTATTTGACTTTGATATTGTGGTAAACAACAAATCGATCGACAGTGG